TTATATAAACTGGCACACACAAAGACTACCTGAAGCTACATAGCTAGAGCTTTTTTATGCAAAGTTTCAGATTCATTTTTCTCTTCCTTTATGATACTTACAAACCACTAAAGCCACAGTCTCATCGAAGACTTCTGGTTATATTATTTTTTACAAAATACATTTCTACTGTCATAGATTTTTTCCTAAAATATTGAAACAGAATGAACATAATATATTTTAAGGTCATCTGTAAACTCAGGTGACCTATTGCTATCCGTTTTTGTCCGTCGTCTTGCGCCTTGGGTTAACATTTGAACATTTTCAGCTTCTTCTCTGCAACCGCTCAACCAGTTTCAACCAATTTTGGCACAAAGCATCTGTTGGTGAAGGGGAACAAAAATTGTGAATTTCATGGTCCCTACCCCCCTGGTGCCTGAGGGGTGAGGCCAAAACCACTAATATTAATGCAATCTTTAAAAATCTACTATACTTCTGGACATCAATAATTTAACCATTATATTATGGAGTGTGCGTACAGCCTTACAATGAATTTAAAACATTACAAAGTTCTGCAAGCACCATCTTTGTTAGCTAGATCCATTAACCAATGACATATATCTATACTTGAAAATAGAATTTAAAGGTCTATTTAAGTTTTAACGCTTTAACAGTTTGTTTTAAACAGGATCAGAATTCATACAAGGATTTTTATACCCAACGCAACAAGTTGCGTGAGGTATAATGTTTTTGACACGTCAGACAGTCAGTCAGACAGTCAGAGTGTCAGTCAGTCAGTCCGTCAGTCCTGTTTTTTTTTTTTGTTTTTTTTTTTTTTTTTTTTTTTTTGTTGTTTTTTTTTTGGTCAGCGCAACTCCTCATAAACCGCTGCAACACAATTGTCAAACTTTGCAGATATTTAGGACATAATGTGTAGAGGTGCATATTACCAGGAAATTTCGATTCCTTTATTTTTCCGGGAATTTCAGCACTTCGACTTTTGGGGGAGCGTGGGGTATTTGAGCTTGCTCACTTTTTCTTTCATTTTTAAAAGAAAAAATTAATTATGATATTCAAAGACACATATCATATTTTGTTGAGATCGAAAGATTTCCTTTCTCATTAAATTTACTTAAGCATCTTGATTGTGGTTTCACTGATTTATTTAAGGAATCACTTAAGGAATCACTGTCTAGTTAGTGTAGTATGCCAGGGCATCAAAGATAGTGGGAAACATGGGATAATTTGCATAACGGGCGAAGCCCGTTATGCATAAATTATCCCATGTTTCCCACTATCGGGCGAAGCCCGTTATGCATAAATTATCCCATGTTTCCCACTATCGTTGATGTCCCTGGCATACTATACTAACAAGACAGTGAGTCCTTATATTTCCATTTCATTGTGAAATAAAATTGTAGAATTAGACATTAAAAATGTAGACTAATAGATTTAAATTACACTAGGACTTCTAGGCCAATTTCAACAGTCCACGCACACTGATGTCAAACACAAAGGCAGCCGCATGAGATTTTCATGCATATTTGGCCTCCTGAGTGTCAGAAACAGAGACACATGCGCACGAGATTTGCATGCGTATTAGGCCTCCTTAGCTCCTGACCTATCGAATTGCCTAATTTACATTCCGGTAGAATTAACAAGATATCAACTCCGCTAACTTACAAAGATATATCGATAAGAAAAAAAAAGATGTGTTTGTGAAACACTGCGCCCTGCTGTAACAAAGTTCGAAAAAAGCTATTATTAGCATATAGGTCACAGTCAAGGTCTCAACGTCATTGACCGTGGTGTCATTTGAAAGAACTTGATTAGTGGAGTATGCATACCAAATATGAAGTCTCTATCTCTTATGCTTGAAAAGGTATGCGAAGGTACGAAAAAACTATTTTTAGCATACAGATTACAGTCAAGGTCACAGTCATTGACCTTTGTGCCTTTTGAAAGAACTTAATTAGTGGAATTTGCAAACCAAATATGAAATCTCTATCTTTCATGGTTCAAAATTTATGGCGAAGATTAAATTTTGCAGACCAAAAAGCTATTTTTTAGCATAAAGGGCACAGTCAAGGTCACAAGGTCATTGATGTCATTTGAAAGAACTTAAAAAGTGGAGTATGCATACCAAATATGAAGTGTCTATCTTTCGTGGTTCAAAAGTTATGGTGAAGGTTAAAGTTTGCAGAAAAACAGACAAACGGTATATGCCCCGGATTTATCGATCCCGGCGCATAAAAATTAGAAATGGAAAAAATATATATTTGTATCTATTTATATTTATAATATTCATCACAATCAATGCTGTACTTTGATTCACTGATCAATGAACCCGACCGGAGAAGCTTTTATGGAATCGCTGTAAACGCGGACGCTTCTATAGTACGATGTACAGTTGGAATCTTTATTGTGATAAAATCGTCAGCTAAAACGAGGACAAGATTCGTTAAACATCTCGGGAACAATTTCATGAAGCCACTGAAAAAAAATATGGAATGAGTTATCTCTCTTCGAATATTAAATCGATTAACATTTTTATGCATCGATGTTTTATGTCTAGAGAGAAGCAATTAAACCGATTTTGCATTTTAATTGTATACATGTGTTGTTTTATAGATTTGATATTATAATATTATTACATGATTTATTTTTGATCTGAAGAGAACGAAAATTATTTCTGCAATACTTTCATTTTATTGCTCCGAAAAAAATATGAGTACTACAGAGCTGTGCTAAACGTGTACCATCAGATCTATTTTCCAATGATAGATTTCTTCCGTATAAATTCAGAACAGATGTTAAGTCTCAGCTGTTATGGGTTATATGTATCAAAACAGCCCGATTTTTTAAAATGACAAAACTAAAGGCTAATCGGAAATAAAATTTTACAATTTTGATGTGAAAGTATACTATCTGTCAAAGAAGGCAGATAAAACATGAATATTTACACACATAAAAAATTTCTTAATTTAATTTCGGTCTGAAAGACATGTATATGGTCCTCTTATTGTAGTCCTTTTTTAAAGATCAGCAACTATTAATAGGACAGCAACTTGTCGCCACATGTTTCATTAGATATGAAACGCGCATACATGTATAATATTTTTCCATTTGATTACATATAACTTTATAATAAATAACTGTCATATGATATTTAATAATCAATATTACGATTTCATTTTTTAACTTTTATATACAATATGTTAAAATATTTTTGCAGATGTAACATGATATTTTTTATGAATAGGAATATGATACTGGGACGGTCTTTTTAGCAACATTCAAATCTAGGAAAGTGCTGCAAATCTATTTGAAATACATGAGGAGTCATTTGATAGTTGACCAAATTATATTATATACATACCTCAGTATTAACTTAGCTACTTGTCTCTATTATAATTAGATATCGTTTAACGAATTTTTAGTTGAAACCGTTTCTTTAAGAAAATTGTACAGGATTAATTTTGTCTTATGATTTAATGGAATAAACATGTCCCATTACAGTTAAAACAAGTATAAAAGTATTTTAAAAACATGACGTGCAAATCGTTAACGGATCGGATATGTTCGCATTAAAACATAAGTTTTTGAAAAATATTATTTGTACGTCTCCTAATGGCGAAGTGAATGTCTGTTGTTTTAAGGATGTTGTTGGTATCGTCAATAGATAAGAAAGTCATTATTTACTTCGCTGGGTAACAACAAAAATCATCGGCGATCATCGGCTTAATCTCAGTAATCATAATTCTAAGAAAAACACTGAGGGGATCCAAAGGAAAGCCAATCTTCGGGGATTATCTTCATTAGATCATTGATGTCGTAATCTTTAAACCAAGGAATATTTTCATTGTCAAAGTTTGGAAAATGTTTTCTCAAATTATCCTTAATTTTTCAATCTTGTATATTGGGTTAAGAACTTTTTGTGGTTTATCTTATTTTTTAGACACATAATGGATTAAATCAAACAATTATAAACTTGATATTTTAACTACCGAATACATGGAGATCTTTTCCGATAGTAAGGAAATCTTTTCCAATGTTTCCAAAGTTTGGTTGAAAGCTTACAAAATTTAATATGATGATTGATAAACTTAAAGAGCTTATAGAAGCCAAATGAGGAAATGTGGATTTGAAGATCAAATTTAGAAAATAATGACACATTTGAATTTTTACCAGACTGTACCACAAAATGGGGTTTGATAAGGATATTTATTATGTGCAGTGCAGATGTTTTTTTTTCTTTGAAATTCTTCTTAGTGTAAATTGAGTAATTTTAAGTTTCAAGACCATAGGAAAGCTCAGGTTATAAAATTTTGACACATTTGAATGGCTTTTAATAATAAATGTCAGCTGATGAAGTTTGGCATAAACATCATGAACAACTTCTTTTAAAGCTTTTTCGTTTGTTTGTTTGTTTGTTTGGTTTTCTCCAACCGAGCTACAAATTAAAACGCAAAGCAATGCAAGACAAAACGAGGGAAGTACACATATTCCCTTGAAGGTGGATTATAAAAATCCATTTTTCATACGTATTCAATTCTCAAACATTTTTTAAAAAATAATTTATGACAAAACGTAAGTATTTTTTCCGTTGTCTATATTTAACAATGCATGGGACAAAAGGTATATTTTACCTCAATCCGATATTTCAATGACAGAAACCCTGTTATTTTATCAGTGTAGCAGAATACGACAACGTGATTTTACGAGATTGAATAACAAAAATCTTGAACACAAGTTGAAGCAAGGTTTGTGAACTAAGAGGCAAGCGGGATTGTTTTGATTACATCGGAATAATTCATTTAAATTCAGGACAATTAGGATTTCTTGCTGAGCAGATAATCGAACCAAGGAAACAGAAATGTGTGGCGACTGAAGGGACAAATCGATCACGATTTAAACGAATCTTAAACAAATCTTAATTGAATGTCTACGGGCACTTGTTTCTAGTTCGCTGCCCTCTGTAAGCGAGGAAGGATAAACACTCGCCTGGGTGAATTCACAATCAAACACAATTAATGAGCAATTTGTTGAGAAAAAGAGAAAAAGCAAACACTATAGTTGCTCTTTAAATATCTGGGCTGTGTAAGAAACCTAAGGAATGTAAAATATGAGATTGTCATTAGTGTGAGAAAACTCCACACCTGATCAATGTTACAGTATCCAGGCAGCATCAGGCGCGCGGACGCCGTGTAAACAACTAATGCCGGGATTACAGACAGCACGCGCGAAATTGTCGCTTCATCACCAGCACGTGTAGATGAACGGTACAACATATGTTGAAGACCCTGGAAAAGTTACAGAGTTTGAAGGAAGTACTATACGCATGCGTAATTCACAATGATGGCGACTTGCATGTAACGGAAAAGTGATAACACATAAAAAGTTTTTTGGAAGAAGTATTAATAGGTGATAAGTGCTGCATGTGTACGGAGGCTGGTATTGGTGCGGGTGTAGAACATGCGGTATTATGACGTGGAAATGGCTGTTTAGTGTCGTGTTGCTGCTGTTGATAGTTCCTGATGTCTCTGAGGGAACCCTAGCGAGAGGTAAGCCACGGCTATCCTATAATACAGGTGGAAACGCAATATGATGCTACGCCGTCTTACAGACTGCAGCTCCTTGTCTCTAGTACTTTGGTTCATGTTTATAACAGGGGCCGGCTAAGTTATACTGTTGTTTTTTTAGGCTATCATCTGCATTGTCTCTTTAATTATATATATATAGCTTGTTCCCTCTGTTTTCTTTCATTTCTAACTTTAATTAATCAGACATATGAATTTGAAACATAAGTACTCTTACTTTTGGACAAAAATTGGGATACAATCTTCGACTATTTTGAATTATCTATGAGGCCAACAAGTCACTGTTTGGATGACCCAAAATCTGCAGCGTGTACCCTGTGACCCATTTCCATGACATTGTACCGGAAACTGCAGCCTGTCGGTTACGATAATCTCTGGATCACCAATCGCAGAGAAGGAAAGGAATGTCTTTATCGGAGAATTCCCCGCTCATTGCATGCTTGATCTTCATTTATTTTGTATATAATGGTGACTATAAATCAAATGCTCCAAGTAAAACAACCAAAAAGCTTGAAGCTAACGTTTATAAAAGCATGCATATTTAATATTTTAAGATTCTGCCTCTTAAGTCGATGTCGACATTACCGAAAGTTAATACACATGTCGAGTCAGGGGATATACATTCAGTATAACCGAGAGTTAATTAAATCTCACTAATTGATCTGACAGTTAAATCTGAAACAAGTCCTCTGTCAAGTTGTGAATCTATTTGCCTTCAGATCCATTTCATCTAGGACAGAAAACACGGTCAGATTTCAGATTCATAAAATAACGGTAACAGATCGAGATAAACAATAGATTCGGTAAATCTGGTAACAGACTGGCTGGCCGCCATCTGAACAAACGGTCTACGGGGGATAGGAGATCAATGTCCTTAATTATTAAACACAAAGATTCAAAGTCGTGTCCACAACTGATCAGAACTCAAGTCCAGCCAACGAAAGAGATGCTGCAAGTTCCTTTATCTGTTTTGACAATGAAAATGCAATATTTCATTTTTAAAACAGGCATGCATACATGTTAAGAACAATAATTGGTGCAAGTATTCTCTTCTGCAAATCTACTAAAACAGAACTATTGTTTTATGATAAATGCCTTGACCCTAAGAGATGGGTGATTAAATATTTAGATTTACCTAGCGCCAAACAAAATGTACCAAATAGCTTTAAATTGCCAAATTCTAATCAAAAATTAGGTGATGGTCTCCGATTTCGAATTAAAATGAAATAATTTCAATATGAATTAAAAGTTTCTTGAATTAATTGTAGAGCAATTAATGTGTGTAGCAAAATTGCTAAACATGACAGCAACTCCTAACGGTTTAAAACTTTATGCAAAAAGGCATATTATAAATATACTTAGCTCTACATTTTGACAACTTAAGACGCATAAAACAACCGAATTAAAAAAGAACAACTATAATATTATGGCAGTTTCATAAGAAAGACAACATTTCTAAAAATTGTATTTAATTATGTTTTGGTTTCCTTTGGTTTATTGAGATAGAAAAATCTTGTAAAGTAAAAAGTTGTTAATTCATGCGTTAATTGTATTACCTTCATATTGTTTCCTTTGGTTTTCACAGTATTTTAAGCTTTAAAATCTATAAAGTTAACATTTTTAAAAAAATCTATTTTTCTCTGTAATAGAAATTAGATATTAGTTATCAAATGTTCTAAGTAGATTATTTCCCGGGATGTTGTGAAATTACAACTCGGCTTCATGTGCGATATATTCTGATGTTCTGCAAATTTTTGTGTGCTTTCTTTTAAATATAGACATATGATTAGAAAAATATACGTTGCATTTAACTGATGTATAACAAGACTCAGCCTTTCTTAATTACTGATTCCTAAGGAATGAAAAAATAGTTTTAATTACCTTTCTTACTAATACATCAAATTTAAAATAAACACTTGGTATTTGTAGAAAAAGATTTGGTCAAGACACTACAACACAGAAAATTTTGTACTCGATAAGTTTCCCGATCATATTTAGGGGATATGTTTGGTTATAAATTACATATCGCGTAATTCTTACTTTTGCCACTTCTTACTTTTCACATTATTAATCACATATCATTTAAACAATAAAATGCTTTCTTTGTTTGTTGTTACTGGAATATGTTGCAGAAAAAATACATAACCCGCGTAATTATGTATTTTTTCTGCGACAGCTGCTTCCGTTAATTCCAGTAATAACTAACAAAGAAAGCATTTTATTGTTTATATTTATATCTGTTTAAATAATCAATTAAAGTAGGATTAAAAAGATTAATTATTGTATTAATGATGCGAACGTCTTTATACGTTTCATTGATGGAACAGCCACCGATTAAGAAATCTGTACAGGCGACCTGTCTACTGTAGTTTATGCAGTGATGAACGCAATGGGGTTTCTTAAGAAATAAAGAAGAAAATATTCAGTGGATGTAAATATCTTTGCATAACGTGTATGAAAGTGTGTTTTAAATTTTCCTTTCTGATGCTTGAGCGATTGTAAGAGAAATGATGGATTCCCTTCAATAATTAACAAGTTATTTAATAATAAAGGCACCTAGAGAATATGGCTGCACTCTGAAAGAATTCTATGTAGATATATTTGTACAGCATTTTAGAATACAATGCTTAACAAAGTAGGAACCTCATATAAAAGCCTTTCTATCGATCAGAAGGTCCTGGGTATATGTCATTAAGGTATAGAGTCTCAATAAGAACCAGACTAGATACATCACCGTACGGCCTTGTCAGTGATTGTGTCATGTTTACCGGTCACGCCGTGGTCCTAGGAAGCCTCGTTTTAGGTTTAGGGATCACCGGATCTCCAACAGATCCAGGTGAGTAATTTTAGTTGGGGGGGGGGGGCAGGCAATGTAACGAGGAGTGGGACAGGTATTGTAATGAAGGGTGGGACAGTAAATTATATACCTATTGGGACAGTATATTAAATGAATAGTGGATCAGTAATGTAATAAAAGAGGACAGGTAATATAATAAAAAGTTAGACAATAATGTAATAAAGATTGGGACAGCAGTGTAATGAAGTGGGACAGGAATAAATTAAATGTAAAGACAGTAATTAATAGATTTGAGGACAGTAAATGTAATAAATATTTGGACAGTAAATGTAATAAATATGAGGACAGTAAATGTAATAAATATGAGGACAGTAAATTTAATAAATATTTGGACAGTAAATGTAATAAATATGAGGACAGTAAATGTAATAAATATGAGGTTAGTAAATGTAATAAATATGAGGTTAGTAAATGTAATAAATGTAAGGACAGTAAATGTAATAAATATGAAGACAGTAAATGTAATAAATATGAAGACAGCTATTGTAGTTTATAGTGTGACAATAAATGTATTAAGTATGAGTGCAGTAACTATAATGAATATGGTTCAGCAAATGTAATAAATATGAGGACAGTATATGTAATAAATATGGGGACAGTAAATGTAATAAATATGAAAATAGTAAATGGTTTACATACGAGAACAGTAAATGTAAGAAATATGTGGACAGTAAATGTCATGAAGATGGGGACAGAAATTGTAATAAATATGTGACAGTATATGCAATGAACATTGGGGGCTATAAATAAAAAAAAAATATAAAGACAGTAAATGTAATGAAAAGATTGACAGTAAATGTAATGAAAAGGCTGACAGTAATGTAATAAAGAGCTGTGCAGAATTTAAAAAGTTGTGTAATAAATAATGATAAAGTAAATGTAAAAATGTACGTGGTCAGTAAATGTCCTTTATCGTATGACAATAAATGTAATGGATTGTTTAAGAGTAATGTTTGAAGTCAAGGAATTGTAATTAATATTGAGACAGTTAATTTAATAAATAGCGGAACAGTAAATAAAATTGTGTATACCCTGGTGTTGATGTATCGTAGATAATATCGAAAATGGCGTATGCCTATTTACGAGTTGTGTTCAGCTTTAATGTCAATGATAGAGGGAAATTTATTTATTTGATAGAGGAGTAGTTGAAAAAGAAATTGTGGAATGAGTTAATGTAAATAGTGTTTAAAGGAATGAAGAAAATTTTGGTTGAATTATATGATAATGTTTGTTGGTTCATACATCAAGACAGTTATGTTCACTTAACATGCGTTTCCTCCTCTGATTTTGCCCCGAGTTCTAGCTGGTAGGTCCTTACAAACCATTGATTTAATGTGTTTGTTTGTAGAAATCATTCAAACCATGAATGTCTTAAAGAAATATCTGACAGATACACTTAAATAAAACAAACACATGGATATCTTAACCATCAATATGTTCGCTTTCATTTCGGGCGTGAGTCTCGCGAGTTCTCGTAACCAGCACGTGGTCGCATTAAAGAACACCACGTGCAAGAACAAGTGCTGAAATAAAACTTCTATTTATCGTCCAAGATCTAAGGGATTCTTTCTTTTGTTCATATTATGGTGTTTTTATGTGGTTTAATTTGTTGAGACTTTAGAACTAGCAGTCGTTACTCTTTGTAGTTTTTATATTTACTGCTCTTAATAGATAATAATGTGTTATACACTATAAAGGCGCTATGTTTGTTTGTTTGTTTGTTTTGCAACTTCTCTGTGGGAAAGGGGATACCTATAAGTTTCAGTCTTTGTTAGTAAAAAAACAAATATAATTTTGCTTTCTCCAAGTTTGTATGGATTTGATATCTAAATCTTTGATAAGAAATTTAGAATACTTGTATTTAATCCCATTTCAGGACACATGCTAGTGATGTACTTAATTATTTTACCCAAGCTGACACTGTTTAAACACGAAAAATTGGTTTCATTGATTGATAAATATATACTGTATTTTTGGAATCCTACAGGCAAAGCATCTCTAAAATATTTAGACATATCCTTCTCTTTCTTTAATTCAAAGTTCTTTTTTTTCCATCACCTTTATAATATATGCAATTTTAAACAGATCACTTTTCAGGACAGTTTGAATCAACAGATAAATTTATGTTGCTATATTTATTTTGTTAATTCTATCATTGACTAAGTTGTCATCTATTGAATTCCCATGGGTACCAATTGCGCTTATTAGCAGACCTATTTTTGTATTCATACGAAGCAGAATTTGTGCAAAATCTTATGCGTGAAAAGAAGAAAACACTTGCTGTGGCCTTCAACTGAACATTTAGATATATCAACGACGTATTGTCAATTAACAATGGTTATTTCCATTCCTATGTCGATAGGATATATCCTGGTTAACTTGAAATAAAAGATACCACAGAGTCTTACACATCTGTTCATACTTTGATATTTTACTTGAAAAAGACGTTATTGGTAATCTAACAACCAAGCTCTATGAAAAACGTGATGACTTTAACTCCCCTTGCTTATGCAGCAATATACCTTCATCACCTGCATACGGCGTTTATATATGTCAGTTGATTCGATACACAATGGCAATTTCTAAAAAGAGGTAAATTATTGACAAACAAGTTGATGAAACGAGAATATCAGCAGTCTGGCTTAAAGTCATCATCTCGTAAGTTATTTGGTCGATACATTGACCTTGTCAGCAAAGGCAATTTATCATTCAGTCAAATGCTGACTGACTTATAGTTAGTCCATTATTTATACCTGATCTGACGACAGATTTTTTCCGTTATTTCCCGATCATGACAAGGAGCACACGGCGGGTGTGAACGGTCAGCAGGGGATGCTCACTCCTCCATGGCACCTGATCCCACCTCCGATGTTTGCTCTGCTCCTATTTTGTATTATTTTATGGACTTTGGTATTGAATACTGTTCGTTATCTCCATATCCTTCATTCCTTTTTGCCAATATCCATTTTCTTCCGCGATACTAGTATTCACTAAAATTATTCTATAGACTTCATAAGTATCCACTTCAAATGACTTAGGTTTGGAAGATTTTATGTATCAATTAAATCAGGAACGCCGTTTAATGTAATTTTAACGAGATCCGTTTGTTTTAGCCATGTATAGTTGTGGTTCTTTTTATTTGACCTCTGCCTCGCCCACAGTAAGCGGATGCCATGATGATAACGTTAGATGAAAGTATATATCTCTATTTTTATGTGCACAGGTCTGGGTAGTGATGACGAAGTCAAGCTGATCCAGTACCTGTTTGTGGACAAAAACTACAATCCACTGATCCGGCCCGTCAGGAACATCAATGAGTCCATAGAGGTCCAGTTCAACCTGGCACTCAGTCAGCTGATCAGTGTGGTAAGTCATAACAGCTGTTCAGTGTGGTAAGTCATAACAGTCAGCTGATTAGTGTGGTAAGTCATAACAGTGAGCTGTTCAGTGTGGTAAGTCATAACAGCTGTTCAGTGTGGTAAGTCATAACAGTCAGCTGATCAGTTTGGTAAGTCATAACAGTCAGCTGTTCAGTGTGGTAAGTCATAGCAGCTGATCAGTGTGGTAAGTCATAACAGTCAGCTGATCAGTGTGGTAAGTCATATCAGCTGATCATTGTGGTAAGTCAGTCAGCTGATCATTGTGGTAAGTCAGTCAGCTGATCAGTGTGGTAAGTCATAACAGTCAGCTTAATTCAGCGTGTACACCAGTCAGCTTGATCAGTATGGTAAGTTATAACATTACAAGTCATTCATTCAGTCAGCTAAACTCAGCGTGTTATGTTACACCAGTCAGCTCATTAGTGTAGTAAGTCATAATAATCAGCTGATCAGTGTAGTATTACATTATGTATGTAAGCATTTCATGAAGGTTCTATCAAGTCCTATTTTAACTTTACTTAATCTTATATTGGTTACAGCTTCTTCTGGTAGGGGTGGGACGATAACTAACAATGGTTTATTTTTCAATGTAGTAAAGTGACATCTTAACTTTTATAAACTTATCTACCAAGTGTTCACAAACAAAATTCTTTGTTTATCAGGTTTATATATCCAGAGTTTTAACCTCTATACACAGAAAGCATGTAGAGCATTTGTTATTATTAATTGTTATAATTCATTTTTTTGTAATCTCCTTTGCTACAGACTTAGGAATAAATAATAATGTAAATGTGATGTTTTTAAAAATTTTAGTTGGTATTCTGGAACTACACAACTATTTGTAAACAACTTCTTAAAAGTAATTTGATAATAATAATATGTATGTATTATTTTTTTTTTGTATTTTAGAATGAAGAATTGATAAACTTTAAGTATTAATTTCAAAGCACACATGATTTGATATAGAATAATTTGTTGATTTAATGTTAAAAAATGAAATAAAATACTTAATAATTCTTTTGAATAGTTTTATAATTTATCATGTTGATTTAATGACCTTGAAATAAAATACATATATTGATAATTTATAATATCTACAGATTTTAAACCTTCAGGGAATAGATGGGCAGGAACAACGTCTTCACAATTATTAAAGGATAAGGTAGCCAAGATAAACATTGTGGTACTAAGGCATGTTTTTCATATATATTTTGCTTACTTGTTTTTTTTTTTTTCTGAGTTAAATATTCATCTGATTCTGTAAATTAGAACAGGATAGCCAATGAATGTGATCATTAAATTAAACAATTATTTGATTCACCAGTTAATTTACATGTACATTTTTATATTACTTACAGTACTGGTACGACTATCAGCTGAAGTGGAATCCGGACAAATATGGCGGAATTAAAACAATTCGCATTAACCATTCTAAGGCTTGGAGACCGGACATTGTTTTGTTCAATAAGTGAGTGTTAACTCTGTCTTTGTCTAACTTCCTGTTTGAATAGATATTGTGGAACTTCTGGCTTTGAACCTTAATATTTAAAAATACATCATCAGTGTAACTCCAACACTTCATATTCAAATACAATGTATATCTTCTTTATCTAGCTCTTTCTGTTAGATTTTATGTTTTCTTCGATTTTTTATGATTTTATGATTTGTAAACGCCTTATTATATGTGTATTTTGTGTGACTCCTCTGAAAAACAATTTTTTTTATGCCGAACAAAGAACAAAATCCCCAAAAGTACACAAACGAAAAAGTAAAAGCGCGGTAATGTTGAAGTATCATCTGCAGCGCGTTTTTTATTTTACTAGCGCTGACGGGAAATACCAGGTGAGCTACGAGTCTAATGTGGTGATGAATTATGATGGTCTGATCTATTGGATTCCACCTGCCATTTACCGCTCATCCTGTGATATCGACGTCAAGTACTTCCCGTTTGATCAACAAGAATGCGAAATGAAGTTCGGATCTTGGACGTTTCTGAAAAACCAACTCTTCTTCACATACTACCTGAACAGGAGGACTCTGGATTTTTCTGACTATTTACGCAGTGGGACCTGGGACATCATCGACAGTCCGGCCTGGATTCAAGAGCAGAAAGATCCCGTGTCTGGAGAAATCCGAGATTTGTACGTTGTGAAATTTGTTGTCAGAAGAAAGACCTTGTTTTATATTGTAAACCTAATCGTACCTTGTGTGTTGATTTCCTTTTCAAGCGTCTGTACATTCGCGCTTCCTAGTGACGGCGGGGAAAAGATTACAATGTGTATATCCATTCTTCTGGCTCTTGTTGTGTTTCTGCTGCTGATTTCCAAGATTTTGCCGCCTGCTCTGACGGTTCCTCTGATTGCTAAGTACCTTCTCTTTAACTTTATCATGACCATCATAGCAATCGGCTGTACCGTGTTTGTGCTGAACAAGAACCACAGGACGCCTCGGACTCACTCTATGCCCAGATGGATTCGACTTGTCTTTCTTTACTACCTCCCTAAATTCCTTTTCATGAAGAGACCAGGACACGAGACCCGATGGAAAGGTCGACAACTAAAGGACATAATGAAAGAGTCGAGAACAGGTACCCCTGATGATTCTCTATACAGGACGCCCGAAATTGGAAGAAAATATCCAGGTATAAATGATTCACAATTTGCGGAAGCAGACAACCATATCATTCCAGAAAACAACGAGACGATGTCATCTATTGACGTGTTCGGTGAAGATTTCAAGAGAGCCTCAGAGGCATTGAAGTTTATCCGACAGCACACACTGAAACATGACCATTACGACACAGTAAGTAAAAGGATACCATACTATTTTCTTCATTGCTTATCTTTTAGGTTTGTAGCACACTAGAACTATAAAATAGAAATTTATCTAAAAGTATGAAATAGTTTTACGATGTAAATGTATAAAAAAAAAAAAAGAAAACTGTTGAAAACTTTATGAAGTCCTAGGGTTTGTTTGGTTGATTAGTAGGTACACGTCTTTTTAAGAAATTTTCTTTCCCATTGATACGCCACTAAATAACAAAGGATAGATTCAAATTAAGATCTATTAAAACTGACGGCTTTTGTCTAATCCAATGTACATGTACTTGTCTCCACGTCCTGCACTGGGATTCGAACCAGTGACTGAATCATAGAATCTTTTTTCTACGTGCATCTAGTATAAAATTTCAAACCACTGCCCCTCGCGCGCGACCTTTGTGTTTGTCACTTTATTTAAGTCGTTTTTTGTTGTTGTAGATCATTGACGACTGGAAATTTGTGGCCAGTGTGATTGATCGTCTGCTGCTGGTCATCTTTCTCTTGGTTACTGTTGGGGGCACCATGGGCATCTTCCTCCAGGCCCCCAACATCTTCTCTGTCGTCGACCAGGACGCCATCATAGACAAACTCATGTCTTCCCTTAATTAACTTCTTCCTGTCGATCAAATAATCGAACACTCTCAAAGTTGATAAGATCAGTCCTACTTATACTCTCACAGATATTGTGGACGAATTAAGGACATTTCTTTTATTTTTAGAATGACCTTTATTCTATGCATTGTTTAGGTATCTTTATGGATGTATGTTGCATATTTTATGATCTTACACTTCTGATGATGTAAAGATATCCTTGTAGTTTATGCACAGTGTAAATATGTCTTCCAGATAAACATTATAACCTGTATAAAGCCCTGAATATTTTTAGATTTTATGTAAGGGTATATATAGTGCTATTATAAGCAGAATATTGTGATGTCTTCCCAATGAAGTGCATGTTTTCCAGAGGTTCCTTATATATTAAAATGGTGCGTTTTAGCCAAATCCTAGAACATATTTTCTTGTTATTTTCAGGGGTTTCTTATGTCCAATTGTGAATTTTTCCAACTTTTATTTTTTTAATCTATATATTTTAGAGAAGTAATCATAGTAACTCTAATTTTTTGTGATTGTTTATTGAATAAATATTTTCAAAAATTGCCAGATCTTGTTTAATTTACACTTTACCTCTAAAATAGCTTCATTGCTCTTGATATAACTTTTTATACCTTTGATCTTTTAGCGCTGATGGTAAATATGAGGTAACTTATGAATCAAATGTAGTGTTAATGCAGCCGGAGGGTCCAGAGGGGTCCGCCAACATCTACCAGGTCCCCCCAGCCATATACAAAAGTTCCTGTGACATCAACGTGGAGTACTTCCCTTTCGATGAACAGGAGTGTGAAATGAAATTCGGTTCTTGGACGTTTGAGGCGGACCAGCTTAACTTTACTTATTATAAATTCTACGGACTGGACATGACAGATTATTTAAAGAGTGGAACATGGGATATTGTCGACTGTCCAGCACGGATTGTAATCTGTACAGATCCAGAAACAAAGAGGCGTATCAGCATGTATATCGCCAAATTTATCATCCGTCGGAAAACGTTATTCTATACGGTGAACTTGATAATTCCGTGTATGCTAATTTCTTTCGTTAGTATATGTGTGTTTATGCTGCCAGCAGATGCCGGTGAGAAAATAACACTGATTATTTCTATTCTGTTGGCTCTGGTGGTGTTTTTGCTCCTGATTTCTAAACTATTACCGCCATCAAAGACCATCCCGCTGATAGCTAAGTATCTCCTGTTTACTTTTATCATGAATATTATTGCTATTGGCTCTACAGTCTTCATTATAAACCGGAACTACCGAACTCCTCGAACACACCGAATGCCAGAGTGGGTTCGAATTGTCTTCTTAAAATACTTGCCCAAATTTCTCTTTATGACGCGTCCAAATCACGACAGACGATGGAAAAGTCCCTTAAGGGTGCATTCAGTGGAGAGTCTGGAAAATGATGTGAAAAGACACGTTGATCACGAAATGTGCAACAAACATTCAAGGAACTGCCAATTGCACAATATATCAGAAGCAACAGACTTAGAATACACCCCAATGAGTCCCGAGTTGATAGAAGCCACGGAAGCAATTGGATTTATCACTGAGCACCTTAAGTGGGAGGATAGATACGGTTCGGTGCGTTTTCAATGTTGTTTTCCTGTCTGAATGACAATTTATATTACAATTTAGTTTGAATACCTAAAATATCATAATAATACTGAAGTCAAGGTTTTTATATGAAAAGTGAGAATCCACAGTGCGTCAACAGTATTTTTTACAATGACACCGTGTTACTGTCATAGAATATTGTTAAGGTTTTCAATGATTATATTTTATTTTTAGGTCACAGATGACTGGAAATACATGGCCAGTGTCGTTGATCGAATGCTCCTCTACATTTTCCTCATTGTAACTGTGTGTGGTACAATAGGAATACTGATGCAAGCACCTTATATTTTAGAAAATATTGATCAGGACGAATTATTAAGCAAGATTATGGATAAATACAAAGTGAACAAGGCAGGCAATATCGCCCCACCCTTGATATATCAAAATGCGCCTTGCTGATATAGGCTTATAATAAATACAGTCTTTGTTCCAATTTCTGTTTATGTTATATTCATTAAATAAAATAATCATTTGAGCTGTTTTGTTCAGTGTTTTGCTATCTTCCGAGTTTCTTTTGTTAGTAGAATATATGAGATTGATCGACACATTTTCCATTCAAACTCGAGTACATGTGTATTTCATACCAAGAAGAATGGTCAAATCAAATGGTTCATTCAACAGGGGCATGCTTTGCAACTGCTATAGAGTATTTTAGTGCCTTGTGGGTAACAGTGGCATGTTCTGCATGGTAAGGCAATGCAAAGTCGCTAATGGTGGCGTTTTCTTTTTCTGAAATATAGACTATAATGTAGAGCTGTGTTTTTACTGTTCGTTTACTGCATGCTCTCTTGTTTTGTTGCATGACGCCAATATTAAAGACGCGCCTCTAATATTTTATCTTTCTTTTTGCAGATATTATAACGTTTTAATTTTTCTAGGTGCAGGTTGCATCGTGGTGGCTTTATGAATATAAAGAATAATCGTAGTGTCATTCATTATAAATTGTCTCTGACTTAGTTACTAGTACTTAGTCTGCTAGAACAAAAATCACTCGTTATGTTAATGACGTATTCACTTGTTATGTTGTCACGTAATCACTTGTAATGTTTTTATTTCCCCTCAGTGCGGATGGGAAGTACGAAGTGTCGTACGAATCAAACATCCTCCTGTCTTACGACAGTCTGGTGTACTGGATCCCGCCAGCCATTTACAAAAGCTCCTGTACAATTGATGTCCAGTTCTTTCCTTTTGATCAACAAATTTGTGAGATGAAATTTGGCTCGTGGACTTTCACAGACAAACAGCTTAACTTTACTTTTTACAATAACATGAACAGTTTAGATTTCACGGATTATCTTAAGAGTGGCTCTTGGGACATAATCGCTGGTCCTGGGCGGATAACTACAGAAATAGATCCGGGTTCAAATCTGAACAAAGCAATGGTTATATTCGAATTTCACCTCCGCAGGAAAACTCTATTCTATACAGTTAACCTTATTATTCCATGTATTTTAATATCGTTCGTCAGTGTTTGTGTGTTTTTGCTTCCAGCTGACGCATGTGAGAAAATAACGCTTTGCATTTCTATTTTGCTGGCGTTGGTTGTGTTTTTGTTGCTTATTTCCAAAATTTTACCGCCGTCCCTGCAGATTCCTTTGATTGCGCATTACTTACTCTTTACTTTCATCATGAACATTCTTGCAATTTGCCTGACAGTGTTTGTGATCAACAAGAACTTCCGGACGCCAAGGACGCACCAAATGCCAAACTGGATTCGAGTGGTTTTTCTGAATTACCTGCCCCGTTTGCTGCTGATGACCCGACCCAATCACATGCAGAGGTGGCAGAAACCTTTGAAGCAGGAACAACATGAAGGGATTGTAATCAATCAAAATAACATATCCAAATCAAACAACTTTTCCGCGTACCCACCTAATTTCCAGGAATTAACCGAGATGCACCATCCAGAATGCCGTCGTCACAACAACAGGAACATTCCAGAAAGTTCCCCTCTACTAGGTCTCACACGTCAAAGTGTCAATCATCTGGTGGACAGTGCGTCACAAAATAAACCTTTCCAGATGACCCCTGAACTAAGGGAAGCAACCGAAGCTCTAAAATTCATCACCGAACACTTAAAGGCAGAGGATGAATATGATACGGTGAGTTTTGTCGTAGTCTTCATATTACAAGAAGTTAAAAGTACGCTAATAAGACATAAAAATGAGACAGGTCACGCCATTTCCAAACATTTTTTTCATTTAATTTCAATCTCAATATTTTCTATTTGTTTTAACTAGTACATTAATGTTCTAGGTGTTGGATGACTGGAAGTTCGTGGCCAGTGTGTTGGATCGTCTTCTTCTCATTGTGTTTTTGACTGTTACTATATTTGGAAGCATTGGTATCCTGATGCAGGCACCATATATTTTGCAATATGTTGACCAGGATGAAATTATCAGGAAACTAATGGGAAAATACATGAAGTGACAAGTATTTTATATTAGATGACGTTGTGTGTTTTACTTGTGGTGATGGAGCGTCAATAGATCTAAAAAGAGTGTTGAATTTTTTCAATTGATTAGTTAGAGACATATCCGATGAATTTTTCTGTGTATTATACATTTACTTGACTATTTTATGTCATGCATTGTGATTTTGATGTATTAATTTTATACATTCTTTTGTAATTTTTATATTTAATGTTGCTTTGTTCGTTTTTTGTTTTTTTGTTTTTTTGTTGTTTTTTTTTTTTTTTGACAAAAAGAAATAAATAAATTGCTTTTTTATTTACTCACATGTCTACCGGGTATTCTAGTGCTATTGATATTTATTGTTCTGTAGAATTTGTTAAAACCATTGTATATGTTTGCACTCAAGGCTGCATAAATAAACACATGTATGTGTATGCATTTTAATAAAAATCTAGTTTATGGGCAGATGTTTTGCCTATTAGAATTTGAAAAACTATTTTTTCCCTAGCTTGTGAGTAATTTTTATCGCCCTGATCAATGTTTATGCAGCTTTGAGGTTTGTGTGGGTATTGGATGCTGCTTTAGAGCCTTTGTGGTACTGTTGCATGTTAAATCACTGCTTACTGCTTAGGGTAGCTGGGTACTAACAAAAACAAAATGTATCTTGATAAATAACAAAGTTAACTTGATAAAGAACAATGTTATTTGTCCAGAAAGTTAATTTTTAGTAAATACCATCAAATTCCATATTAATTCATCTAAGCACATCAGATAGGACCACAATGTACAAAATAAATCCTATAACAAAATAAGTATTGCTTTAAAATCAAACATACTGAATCCTGGCCATCATAAAATACTGTGGAATCATTAGATTTCATCGGCGCCATTTTGTGGATTGCTTTTAAAAATTTACAGTTCGGAGAGGGGCGCAATTAAGTTTCTTTGCTTATGCCCTCAAAAGGACATTTTACCTTTAAACCCCAATTTGTTAATTCGTGGAGGGTGTAAATTCCTGGAGTAGAGTTACCCACTAATTCCATAAAAATTGAGCCACCAAGAAATCTAAAAGTTCCATCACAACTGATTCAAAACTAATATAGAATATAGGTTCTCCTGAAACTGAAAACTGTTGAAAGCAATAAAACAATTTCACTACAAAACTAGAAGTCTTTGATGAGACTGTAGCTCTACCAGTTGTATTTTTTCCTTTGTTAACAGACAGACGGACAGACGACGTTAACATATACAAGATGATATTTACATTTCCAATGTCTTTGTGGTAAAATAGTTTACATTTGTTTCTACATAAATGAACTGGTTCATGGATAGCAAAAAGCCTACCCTTTCGCTTTCCAAATTTGTTTTTTACCACAAAATTACGCTATTACGCCACTTGTATTAATTTTACGCTGATATTTTTGTTTCCAATTTCATTTGTCCGAAATTCAACATTATAAATGCAGAAATGAATGTTCTTTATTTCTATCAAAGACATAAATGTACTGTATAC